CCCGGCTGGACAGCACTCACTGGTGAAAGTCTCCTCTGCACAATGAATTGCAATCCACTCTTCCTTGGAATCCAGCAACACTGAATGAGTTCCTTCCCTTTGCAGCACAACAGTTCCTCAGAAGATTGTGAGCGTGATGTCCTTGAGTTCTCTGCCTAAAATAAACCAGTGACAGTCCAGGGTTTCAATTTTCCCCATGAAAGGGTGCAGCCTGGAGTGGACACAGTACTCAGAGGGACACAAAACACAGTCCCCTCCAAGACGAATGGGAGGATTTTGGAAGGGGCCCTGGGACTCTCCCGACGTGAAGAGATGGGAAAGGCAAAATGGGATGTGTTCTATTTGGCTCAGGCTGCTATCACAAAACACCACCGGCCGCATGGCTCAAACATCAGACATTTATTTCTGCAGTTCTGAAGGCTGGAAAGTCAGTCTAACATCAAGGTGCCAAAGGATAGGCTTCTGGTGAGAACTCTCTTCCTGGCTTGCAGATGGCGCCCTGTCTCAGAGAGAGAGAGGAGTTCTGGGCTTCCTCTCTCTTCTTATAAGAACACCAATCCCCTCACGGAGTCCCACCCTCGTGACCTCATTTAACTACATCTCCCAAAGGCCCCACCTCTAAATACTACAACATAGGGAGTTAGGGCTCCAACATATGTATTTGGGGGGGAACACAGAAATTCAGGCCATAACAGGATGCTAACAGGAGAATTTGACCCTTGACAGTGAAGAAAGGCCCCATTTAAGGCAGCCAAACAGCTATCCCCTCACTGTCAGGCCCTATTTGACGGATGGCTGTATATGCCTCCCAAAGGCATTAAACACATTTAATTTATTCATTTTAACTTTAAAAAACTGTCATACACTTAAGATGGGAGGAAGGTATTTAAAAATCAAATCAAGACTTTAAAAGCAAACAGAAAAGTACTTGTCTGTTGGAAAATTGTACCTCTTTGCCCACCTTCCCATCACCACCCTTACTGAATTTATTATCCTTGACTCAGAGATGAGGTATAAACTCACAACCAATCCATGAGAAATAGGAAAAAGAAAAGCTGACCAAAGCCAGTTTAAAATGAAAACATTATGATAAATTGCTCTGAAAAGAGGAAAAAAAAAAAGCTTCATTTTGTCCTACTGACATCTCTCATCATAGATTTTTTTTAAAAGCATGGAGTCTCATTCACTACAGAAGCTGGGATTCACTGGCCTGGGTATTTTAATATTTTCATTTGAAGAGGCTGAAGGTGATCCACGTCACCTTCAAAACAGCCACAGTAACGCACAGCGAGGGGGATGGGGAAAGTCCCAGAGGTCATGGCCCAGGTCCTGACACAGACCAGGGCTGCAGCGCGGGTCTCTAGGAGGATGACACTGTCTCCATGTGGGGGAGGAAGCCTGTCACTGTGCAGCTCTCCCAGGGTCTCCAGAGAAGGGCCATGGCACGCTCTGAGCCACACAGGCCTAGGGGAGCCCAGCCCTGCAGTATGGGACCCAGGAAAACTTCGCTCTAGAATTGGCCCACGCTCAGAACTCCCTGCTCAATTCAGCCCAAGTTCCCAGGGGCCCACAAGCATCTCTCCCCCCAGGCTCACTCCTAACATTTATAATCCCAGGGTAAGAATACAAATGGAGGCCCACATACCATAAATCTAAATATTTAACAGCTAAAAATCAAACTTTAAAATGATGTTCTATCCTTCCATCCTGACGGTTTGAATTTGGAAAGCTCGACCTCCTCTAATTTCCATACCCAAAAGTGCCAGCATAAGGCAAGCCAGTCCTGGGCCCTTGACTCTGGCACCCAGCACACAGCGCAGCCTCCATTCCCTCCCCACCTCCAGCTCCACTCAACATGTCCAGGCCTCTCCCACACAGGGGGTGCCCATCCCAGCCTGCACATCCATGTTCCAGCTACTGCCACCCAAAGCAGCCGCTCCTTGGCTACCCCTCAGACCAGTGCAACCTCAAGATAGATGGTAGCCAGCCCTAGAATCTGCCTCAAGTCCCTTTGGGAAGGAATTCAAAATACAGTTCTAGGAGAGGGGTGTAGGCTCAGAGTGAGCATATTCTGTTGGCATATAGACTCCCTCCTCGCCCCCCGACATGGGGAGGGGCATCGTCAAAGAAAGGCCAGAGCCAGGGCCCTAAAGTCCAGGGCCCAACGCAGGGCCCCTCCTGCAGTGCATGTCCACCGCACGGCCTCTCTCTGGCTTTTGATTGTATATCCAACACTCAGGGCGCAGCATGAGGGCTCTGACTCCCAGAGGGTCAGGGAAGGAGCCATAGAGCTAAGAAAACCTATTCCTTCTTGGGTAAAAAGGCACAGAGGAGTCCAGAGAGGACAAGCTATGTGTCCACACTGGCACTGTGAAGGTTCCAGGCCCCAGCCTCCTGACCCGCACTGTCCCCGGCCACCCTTCTGGTGGAGGTTTGGGCATTCCTTCGCCATCCTCCATCACGTTCCAGGCTTAGAGTTTCCCCCTCGTAGTACTGCTAACCTCGCCAAATTCCAAGAGCTCCCGGAGTGTCTGCAGGGAGTGAGGGAAGGCGGCTGTCTCGGTGCGTGTCTAGACCTGCCTAACAAGGAGCATCAGTTTGGACTGGCTTCCAAGCCAATGGCAGAAGCTGGCGAGTAGCCAGACACAGCCTGCTCCCCTGGTGCCCAGGCACCGGAAAGAAATGTTGCTGGGCCAGCGTGCAGACTGCTCCCAGGCATGGGGCGCTCTGCCCCGCCTGCCCTCCCTACTATGGGCTGTCCCAGACAAAAACCCAGTGGGGTGTTGGGACTGCCTCCTACAGGCATCTCTTCTCAATTCTGTGTTCAGTTAGGCCATTTTGAAATTGGCGATAGTGGGAGTGTTTACACCACAGAAATGGGCAAATGCTACAAATCAGGGATTTATTTTTTTTTATGAAGAGCTGTCAAACATTTACCAGCATACCACTGCATAAATCTGTAGGTGTGGCTCACTTATGCATACCTTTGAGACACATCCAGAGCCCCACGGTGTGGTGCATGTGTGCACGTCCATGTACATATTCTTACATGCACACATACTTCTGGAATTAGATCAACTCACCCAAACGTATTCATTCAGTCTGTCAGGACTTACTGACCACATCCCCTCTCCCAGGCCTTGATCTTGGTCCCAAGTGTCCAGACACGACAAGGACATGAACTTACTTTCAGGAAGCTCTCAGTAGAGACAGGGCCATGGACAGGAACCCGAAGGTTGCTGAGAAAGATGATACAGCCACACAAAGGCGTGGAGAGGAGGGTACACTCACATGGGGCAGGCACACAGAGGAGATGGGGCTTCAGCGAGGGTGTGCACGCCTACCACACACATTTCTGTACATACTCAATCTACACGCGCTCGTAGACCTATCCGTGCACTTGCATACACAGGTAAGCATGGAGGTGTGTACCACTATACTGCCTCAGGTGCTTGCATCTAGGTGGACACATGGACCACCTGTACATGCGTATGCATTATGGTTGTGCCAAAACATCAGCCAGAACAAAGGAATGCAACACTAGGGGAGATGCCCATTTTTTTATTACCAGGCACACCTAGCCTGGAGCAGTAAGAGCAGAGTCTCTCTCTCTCTCTCTCTCTCTCTCTCACTCTTTCTCTGCTAGTACCTCTCCCAATCTCTTTTTCAGTCTCGTCTACCCTCTCTTGCTCTGGTTTTTGTTCTCTCCCTCGTCCCCCTCCCACCCAGTTATCAGCCTCAGTCTCACCCCCACGCTGCCATTATGCACAGGATTCCAGAGGGAATGAGAAGTAAGGGGTGAGACCAACCCAGGCACCTCTCTCAGCCTCTAGCTCCCAAAGCAGAGCAGTGAAGAGAGCCTGGATGGGCGCTCTGAGGCAGCCCTCTGCGATGAGATGAACAAGAGCAAGAACCCCTGGCATGAGGGGGAGGAGTGTATCCCTTCCCATCCATCAAGCCAGGGAGTCCGGGATGAGCTGTCATGACCCCTAAGCAGTTCAAAATCTCACGGGATAGAAAACTCGGACATGGATGTCAGGCAGGATGTAGTCAGCTGTCAGAAGGTGACTCTAGGGGGGAAGAGGGCAGCCAGGGGAGGGAAAGGGTAGCCTTGAGCTAAACCACTATTTCTCTCTCAAAACCTTCAGTGGCTCCCTGTGCCCTCAAAGTAAAGTCTTCAATCCTCTCCCTCGTTTGGACTCTGGCTGTCTGTCCTACCACACAGCAAACTATCAGACCGTATATTATCACAGACCTGTTAAGCAGATAAGGAAACTGGGGCCCAAAGAAGCAGAAAGGGGCTAAAAGGATGGGCTCTGGCTTCACACTGCCAGGGTTCAATCCTGACTCTTGCCGTTTAGGAGCAGCACAACCTTGGGTAAGTTATCTATGCCTCAGTTTCCTAATCTGTAAACGGGGAATAATAATAATAGCACTGTTGTTATGCGGAGTACATGAATTAAAAGCATTAGAGCAAGCATGTCAAACCCAAAGGCTAACACAGGCTAAATAAACAAGGTTTGTGTTTATGTCGGCCACAAAAAAACAAAAGCTTCAATTTTCATAGAAAAGTAGGTTTATTTCAATAGAGACATGCTGAATACAAAGGGCTGAAATAAATGAGTAATCATTAAAATAATACACGCTAAAATATTCACTGCTAGTATAAATGGAGAGACATATGGTGCACCCACGCATAAGGCACGTGAGGAAAATGAATGCAACACGATTATAGTAATCAGTCATTAGCGAACACTGTAGTTTGTTATTAATAATTATGTATAACAGGATCTTGTAAAAATTAAGTTACAAAAATTTTAAAAACTTTTCTTGCATACAGTTATATTGTCTGGACCACAAAAATATTTGTTGTGGGCCACATGCAGCCCACGGGCCACGAGTTTGGCATGCTTAGAGTATAATGCTTCTGTCCTGAGACATAATAACAGTTTTACAGCCCTTCCTATATAAGTGAACACTCAAGACTGGGCCATGCACCAAGACATACTCAGAATGTGGCAGAGCGGTGCCCTGATCCTCATGCGTACCCTCCACAATGTCCTGCCTTCGTCATCCACATACACAAACACACGCAGGGTCACCAGTGCCTTAACGGAGGCTGCCCAGGGCACAGAGGGGCAAGGAGGAGGGAGGG